GGAAGGCAAGCTGCTGTTCATTACGCTGTTCGTTATCAGAGGCATAATAAATTTATCAGTAGATAGAAGATTTAAAACTGACCGAACTTGGCGTTTTCAAATTCCACTCTGAATAGACAGACAAGGGAAAAAGATGTATTTTTAGGCATAAAGATAAACAGACAAAAATTAGTTGAGCTCTTGAAAAATCTCTGGAAGCGAGGTGATAATTTAAAACAGTCTGAGGCTGGACAAGACAGGCGAGGAAAGTCTGATGGAAGAGTTTTCTGAAGGTCTGACTTTCACAGGAGCTCGAGCAGGGAACGTGCCAAATTCAGGACCTAAATCCTCGCTAATCTTTACAGCCCGGTGGCAGAATGCAAAATACCAGGGCTCCGCTCTGCGCTGTGAGCCAGCGTTCCTGCAGCGCTAGATAGCCCAAACGCACATGTTAAATGAACTGGAGACTGTGGAGCATGGAGGCAAGTTACGCCACAACAGCTCAGGTTTAAATTGTCTCTGTGGACGTATTCATTAGCAGTTGTGGATAGTATTCTGCTTCTTCCGTCACTTCCTTTGCTTCTTATTTTTAAAATCTTAGGACTGCACAAGAACGTCAAGTCTCTGGCTGTTCAAGGACCATGTGACTCCGCTGTACTTTGAACTCAGATAGACTTCTTACTGAATGAAGTCATGTGTAAAGTTCTTTCCAACAGAGATTATTTTGAACCAAGCCGTACTAAGAAATGCAACAGAATTTCAACACTCATATTTCAGCAGAACAAAAAAAAAAAGAACCATTCCTGTACTGAGTGCAGCACTTTGGGGGAAAGCCCCAGCTCCCCTCTCATAAACAGAACTACTCTTGTACTAGATGATGGAAGCAGATCAGGTTTTAGTTAGGGGAATAATAAAAATCATCACACTGCTATACAGTCAGATGTCAGAAAAAATAGCTTTTGCTTAATCGATGCATGCAACTTTGTTTCCAAAAGACTTCTTCATAAAACACAGCATCCCAAGTTTAACTCAGTAAAACCAGTACCAGGTCCAAACTGGCCATATTGGGATGGATCAGAATTTCTGTGTGCTTTCTAGCCTGAAGAGACACCAGGTTTCAGCTAATATTTGGATTAAAAAAACAAAATTCCCAGCCCCGATCATTATTCTTTTTTTCCCTAGGAGCAGAACATATGGCTTGTATCCTGGCTAACTTCCAACCTGAGTAATTACGTACTGACCGCAAAAGTTTCCCCTGCGGTTTTAACTGGATAAAGCATTCCTCTCCAGTTCCTCCTGTGAACATTTATACCTTGTTGTGGAGCACTATTAAACAGCCACTGCCCTCTTCCCCAAAGATGGCTGCATTTTATTAATAAGTGAAACACATTTTTTAAAATGATAATTAAATTCCTGTTCCCTCAAAATATATTTGGGAGGGACGGGGATATAATTTTAAATAAAACACGTGTTTGGAGCTCCTAATCCTATCCATTAGACATGATCTGCTGTATCAGGATGATGTTTTCAGGCAGTGAAATTGATAGATGAAGACGGTATTTTCCCCAAACAACATCAAGTGTTAAAAGACCTACCCTTAGGTTCATACAGCACATTTAAAATCAAGCATTGCTCCTGAGGATGTAGAGCAGCCTATGAGCTCATGAAGGGCTGTGTGTTGAAAAAGATTAGTGTTAGAGAAGATGCGGGCAAGCTTTCTGCTCAGAAATATGGGACAACCAGACAAAGCAAAAGAACAGTCTGGATATCTTGCTTTTATACCAGGGCACGGACTATTTTGAAGTGTCTTTTGAAGATGTTGCATTTGAAGCATAATGACAATGAAACAGCATGAGCTATACACAACACCACAGTCCACCGTGTACCTTGAAGATCCCAAAGCACTTTACAACTGATTTGTGCCAAGAGGAGGTACTGGAGACAAGCACCAGGAGAGCCATCTTAGGATGAACTACAGAACCAAACTAGGTACCTGATCTGGTAAAATCCTTCCTCCCCCCAGTCAGGATTGCAAACACTGAAATCAAGATGAAAACTACCAATAGGGAAAACCAATTTTGAGTACCTTCATTTTTTGATTTCCCAGGCTGAAACCATCTGAATTCCAAATTTCAGACTTCTATAAACAACTTCTGATAAAGTCTGCAGCATTTACTGCCTCTGCAGAGGCATCAGGATCACTGTGACAAGCGAGGCACCCTGAAAGTCAGAAACCACTTCAACAATTTCCCGTGCACGGGATCTAAGTGACACCAGGCAGCAGAAATGCCAGCAAGAGAGCCATTTAGACCAGACTATATTTTAACCACTTGGTCAGATTTACAAACTGCTTTGAAGACAACAAATGCTACCAAGCTCTTTAGTATTACTAAATAAAATTGTGCATGGGAAGAGCATTTTTTCTGCCAGAGAGCTCAATAAGTGCTATTAGCTGCTTAATCCACACGTACGTATACATACACACACATCCATATGTGCATGCATACATACGTCAATTTAAGACATCTTGTGTAGCACGTTTGCAACTTTTTTTTTTATTTTCAAAAAAATCATGGAACAAAAAGGAAGAAAAACCACCTTCTGCTTTCTCATAAACCAGAAACGGGTCCATTCCGAGAACGTGATGAGTGGCCAGCATTTTCCTCGACTTGCACTTTTTGTAATCATCCTTCCTCTTTGCACCCCCAAACCGGTTACGGGACTGATATACGTGGCAAATGAGAAGCCTCTGCCCTTTATATTGACAGATTCATTGGGATTCTGCTCCCTGGCTCTCTCTGCTCATCAGAGCTGGCAGAGGATTCGGACCGGTGGGAAGGCTGGAGCCCGCAGAGGCAGAGTGAGCGGCCCATGTCACTGCGAGCCCCGGCAGGCTCACAGGGACAGCGCTGGCAAAGGAGCCAAGGGCTGGTGCAGCACACAGAAATGCGCTCGGGTTGAGGGAATGCTCTTCCAATTAATCCATCAAACTGAGTAGTTTGGGATTTGACCCCCAACCTGTAAGGATGTGACACTATTCATGGAGAAGACTGAGTATCTGCTGCGTTTTGATCAGGCCAAACCATAAACAAACAAACAAAGGCAAGTTCTAGAGGGAGATGTAAAATTTTAGGTCTCTCTAGCGGCATCGCTTTAAACACACTGAAACAGAGTTCCAGGCATCGCCTCCACCGCAAGCATAAAATGTGATCCATCTCCGGTGTGCAACATTGCCATCGAGCGGCCACTCCAGCTCTGCAAAAATACCAGCAGCGACAGAAGGAATCAGAACATTTGCCCCTTATTTGCAGCTTTACAAATTGTCTTTAATCATATTGGCAACGTACAGGAGAACTGGCGAGGTGGTGATAACTCTCTGCTAACATGCCCCTACAAAGAAAAACACTCCCTTCTTCAGACCTGCTCTTTCTTCTGCTAGGTAGCAAATGCAGTTTTCATTTTCTGAGACACACCGCTGCCATGATTATGTTGCAAGCACAGCACAGAGCACAACCGAACATCAAAAACATACAGAAACATCAAAAATGACAAATGGAGCACTCCTGACGTCAGGAAGCCAATGTTTAGAAGTAATCCCAATGAGAACAGCACAACGGCCTGGATCAGGAAAGAGCTCCAACACGGGGAAAATACATGGAAGTTGGCATAGAGTCAGGAGTGGAAAGCAAAGCAAATGAATCAACTTAGTAATTTTAGAAGAACATGAAATACTGACAGTCGGAGGGCAAAACAACCTGGAATGCAGAAGCAAGCTGTAATAAAATATGCAGATGGAAATGTTGTTCATAGTCAGAAAAGCAGTAACAGAATTAAACCAGATCCAAGGATGATGAGTGGCTCGATTAGAGCAGCAGTGAAGAAAAATTATTATCTGCCTCGGCGCTTGAGCCAGAAGCTGTTCATCTACACAAAACTTGTGCTTGCACTCACCTGGAACCCAGACCAAGGAAAGCAGGCATGCCTTGCTTCCTCACGAAACGGCCCGCTGCTTGCTTGAGTTGCAGTCGCAGTGAGGGGTACGCACAAACTTTTTTAAGAAGCGACACGCTTGTCGCCTGCATGCGAGAGAGAAGTACAGCATGAGCATTCTGCCCAGCCAGCACAACAGATGGACACACAGAGAAATAACACTCACCTGGAAACTAATTTAGTAACTCATTTGTTAGCACAACATCCATCTTTCAGCTGTAGAAACCTTCTATCAAAAGAGCAGCAAAGAAACAAATGAAGCTTAATCACTTAAGCTAGCAAACAAATATTGACAGGCAAAGAACAGAGGCGTAACTACCACAGGTGGCTAGCCATACGTAAGAAAATCCTGTTTGTATTCTTGTCTCCTAGCACTTGGCACCTGTAAACACCGAAAGGAGCCCATCTGCCACCACCACCATTACAACCGGAGCACAGTTACCGCACCCGGGAAAGACGCTTCGATGGCTGAGCTGCCAAAACCAGGGAGGCAATAGTAACTTTCTTCTTCACCAACTAATTTTGAAAAGAAAGCTTGCAGCCTTCCCTAAAGTGGAAACTCTGAACCAATCCTAAAAAGCCAGGGAAGGAAGACGCAGAAATATTTGCTCTTACCCTGAACTGGAGCTGCTGAGCTGGTAATGATACCTTTCTTTTGTTTGTGTTTACTTGTTTGTTTTGCCAGATTACGTAAAGCTTATCTGCCAATCCACTCCTGTTTCTATTATACAGTTCCTCCTGTCTAAGGTAAGAGGCCAGAAGCCAGAGAAATATTTTTTACTCTGGTTTAGCAAAAAGGCTAGCTTGTGAAAACCAAAAACTCACCCAGGCTGCAAGAGAGCCTTGTTCTCTGTGTCATCGACCAAGTTTCGACACACTGCTACAAGTTTGAGTACATTTTTGAGGAGACGGTCTCCTCTTGCAGTTCAAGTGCAAGACAAATTGAAGGGTTAAATTAAAATGTTACTTTCCTTTTTCATTCAGAGCTGTCAGCTTTATAGCACATCAACAGGGAGATTTTTCAACAGAATATGAATCCAAGAGAGAAACCAATTTTCCAAGAATACCTGACAAACCAGGGCACTGTGGTAAAGCCCTATTGCTGTCTGAGACAGAACCACACCTGTGCCAGTTGTCCCTACCACATACGCACGGGTGAAGAAGCCAGAGTCCCTTACGCAGAATTTCAAAGGGTCTTTGGCTTCCCATACAGATCAACGACAACTCTCCAAAGCAAACACCTTCTCTTCTACGAACTGAGGAGTTTCTCGGGCACAGTAGTCCAAAAGGGCCACGCCACAGACTGTACCGAGCAAGACAACCACCCAGAATCTATGCTGTTTGAGGTGGGCGGTTATCTGGATGCAGTTACAGATGTCTATAAAAACATCAGATGCATCATCCTCTACGCAAATTACTCTCCTTGTAACGAGGCTTACCACTGCTGCATAAGTAAAATCTACAATTTCTTGCTGAAGTATCCAGAAATCACGCTCTGCATCTATTTCTCTCGGCTTTATCACACTGAGGACGGCTTCCCCACCGCCACGTGGAACCAGGAGGCTTTACGGAGCCTCTCCAGCCTGTGGCCGCGGGTGACCCTGCAGAGACTGCCTGCGGGAACACAGCATTACCTCCTCCTCAATTTTGTGTATGGCATCCCAGGGCCAACCCTTTATCACCCAGCTCCACCCTCAAGAACCTTAGCAGGTGGACAAAATCCAGGTCAAATTAACTGCTTAGCAGGAACGAAACCTTGTCGCAGGAAAGCCTTCCCACAAGCAATGCAGAGAAAGCCTGCTGTGCAGCAGAACCTAAAGGCTTTTTCTTCCCCGAGCCCGGCCTCCCAGCAGCCTTTTCAAGCGGTGAAAGGCAGCCTGCTACCTCCGATCTCTCAAAGCCGCTTGGTCCTTTTCCCAGGCATGTTTCTGCCCTTTCAGAAGGAACATCTATACCCCAGACCTAAAAATATCGTCAAGCATTTAAAAATGCCGATGGAATAATTCAGCGAAACTCATCATTCTGAAAGGTTTCCAAGCAGCAGACACCTACTCTGAAGATGGTACAAATCAAACTGCTTTCAGACTGTAAAACTGAGGTCACAGGTGGCAAAAAAACCCCATCAGTAAAGTCACCTCATACAAAAGTTAGTCCACAGTAGAACTGTGGATCTCAAATAACTGATTATGAAGATTACATGCTTTTATTTTAGTCCTATACCTTTCAAATATAAACCCACAGCAGTAAAACCAAACCCTCAGTACCTTCTGATTGCTTCCTGCAATTGATTTGTTGCCCTTAAGCCAATTTCCACCAGAAAAATGTAAACAGTCCACAAGCTACAACCACAACTGCAGCTAATTTGTAGCTTCCCAGCTGAGGCAGCTTTGGTGGAACATGACATAGCCTCCACTCTCTGTCAAGAGTGCCTAATTTCTCTGTCTCTTCTCTGTCAGTAGGGTGGTTCTGCAGGTAGGGCCAATATATGAATAAGGTTTTTGCACCAGCTGTTTCCTTAATAGTAGGGGAGTTTATCTGCACATATATATGTCTGTATATGTATTTTTTTTCCCTAGGGCTCCTCCCTTCCATTAAACAGAACCTTACAAAGCTGTGTGATCATCTAGTTAGTAAGAAATATCTAATAGGATAATATAGATAACACAGGTCTACACAGTCCAAGTGTAACTAGTAAAAGAAAAATAATTCCTATCATTTAGTGCAGTGTTTTCACTTTGGGATACATTTGTTATACTAAAGGTCATAAGGAATGGGGCAGCTGAAGTCAAGAACATGTTGTTTCCTGAACACACAGGGGCTCCTTCTCAGGTGACATCAACTGTGAAAACAACCACTGGCTAATTTTGTAGAAGTCAGTGCTTCTGCTTCTGCTTCAACCACCCTGACATCAGCTGGGAAGACCACACAGCTAGGCAGGCGCAATCCAGGAGGTTCCTACAGAGCATCGATGATAACTTTCTGATGCAAGTGGTGGAGGAACCAACAAGGAAAGGCGCTCTGCTGGACCTTGTATTAACAAACAAGGAGGGACTGGTGGAGGATGTGAAGGTCGGAGGTAGACTCGGCTGCAGTGACCATGAAATGGTCGAGTTCAGGATCCTGCGTGGAGGAAGCAGGGCGATAAGCAGGATCAAAACCTTGGACCTCAGGAGGGCTGAGTTTGGCCTCTTCAAGGAGCTACTGGCAGAAATCCCGTGAGCCAGGGCTCTCGAAGGCAGGGGGGTCCAAGAGTGCTGGTCACTCTTTAAACATCACTTCCTCCATGCTCAGGAGCGGTGCATCCCCCTGAGAAAGAAATCGAGCAAAGGAAGCAGGAGACCTGCATGGTTGAACAAGGAGCTTCTAGCGGAGATCAGGTGGAAGAGAAAGGTCCATGGAATGTGGAAGGAGGGGCAGGCCGCTTGGGAAGAATACAGGAATGTGGTCAGAGCGTGCAGGGATGCAATGAGGAAGGCCAAGGCCCACCTGGAATTGAAGCTGGCAAGGGATGTCAAAAACAACAAGAAGGCCTTCTTCAACTACATCAGCAGCAAAAGGAAGGCTAGGGACAACGTGGGGCCGCTGCTGAATGAGGAGGGTGTCCTGGTGACGGAGGATGCGGAGAAGGCAGAGCTACTGAATGCCTTCTTTGCTTCAGTCTTCAGTGCTAAGACTGGCCCTCAGGAATCCCAGGCCCCGGAGGTAAGAGAAGAAGCCTACAAAGAGGACGACTTTCCCTTGGTCGAGGAGGACTGTGTGAGGGATCGCTTAAGCGATCTGGATGTCCACAAATCCATGGGCCCCGATGGAATGCACCCACGAGTGCTGAGGGAGCTGGCGGATGTCATCGCTGAGCCACTCTCCATCATCTTTGAGAGGTCCTGGAAGACAGGAGAGGTGCCCGAGGACTGGAGAAAGGCCAATGTCACTCCAATCTTCAAAAAGGGCAAGAAGGAGGACCCAGGGAACTACAGGCCGGTCAGCCTCACCTCCATCCCAGGAAAGGTGATGGAGCAGCTTATCCTGGAGGCCATCATCAAGCAAGTGGAAGAAAAGAAGGTTATCAGGAGTAGTCAGCATGGATTCACCAAGGGGAAATCATGCCTGACCAATCTGATAGCTTTCTACGATGACATGACTGGCTGGGTAGACGAAGGGAGAGCTGTGGATGTTATCTACCTTGACTTCAGCAAGGCTTTCGACACAGTCTCCCATGATATCCTCCTAGGGAAGCTGAGGAAGTGTGGGCTGGATGAGTGGTCGGTGAAGTGGATAGAGAACTGGCTGAATGGCAGAACTCAGAGGGTTGTCATCAGCGGCGCTGAGTCTAGTTGGAGGCTGGTGACAAGTGGTGTCCCTCAGGGGTCAGTACTGGGCCCAGTCTTGTTTAACTTCTTCATCAACGACCTGGATGAAGAGTTAGAATGTACCCTCAGCAAGTTTGCTGACGACACCAAACTGGGAGGTGTGGTAGATACACCAGAAGGCTGTGCTGCCATTCAGCGTGACCTGGATAGGCTGGAAAGCTGGGCAGAGAGGAACCTGATGAGGTTCAACAAGGGCAAGTGCAGGGTCCTGCACCTGGGGAGGAACAACCTCATGCACCAGTACAGGCTTGGGGTGGACCTGCTGGAGAGCAGCTCTGCGGAGAGGGACCTGGGTGTCCTGGTGGACGACAGGTTAACCATGAGCCAGCAGTGTGCCCTGGCTGCCAAGAAAGCCAATGGGATCCTGGGGTGCATCAAGAAGAGTGTGGCCCGCAGGTCGCGGGTGGTTCTCCTTCCCCGCTACACTGCCCTAGTGAGGCTTCATCTGGAGTACTCTGTCCAGTTCTGGGCTCCC